AATGAAAATTTAACGCCAAGAGAGTGTACATACTTAATTAATCTGGCACTTCACTATGAAGGCCTGGCAGCAGACTCCATTTAGCCTCTTGACTGGGTAATAGATGATCCTGTGTGCTGGTTATTTCCTGCACGTTTAATTTAATGTAATTGAAATGTTGTTGTGTGTCTGTGCAGGAGAAACGCTGCTAAGTCCGCTGGTGATGTGTGGCCCTCACGGACTCAAGTTCCTGAAGCCGGTGGAGCTGCGCTTACCTCACTGTGCGTCCATGACCCCTGATGGTTGGTCTTTTGCTCTAAAATCCTCCGACTCCTCGTCGGGTACGCTGTCCTCTCTCTGTCCTTTTGGGGTCTGTGGGCTTTGGTGGTTAGAGAGGAGCGTTTCTTTGTGTCTGAGTCATTTTAATCAACTCACCTGTTTTTCACACCTGCTCACTTCTTTATCCTGCATGCGCTGCTTGGACTTTGACTTTGTTTTGTATTGTGCTACCTAACAGTTATAATCAAAAAAAACAATGTCACTTTCAAATTCAACTGTCACTCAGATTATCAGTCGAATGCTTGACTGATTTGATTTTAGTCCACCAACAGAAAATTAATTGACACAATTCTGACGAAGGATTAGTTGTTTTATGTCATTTGTCAAACATTACTTTGTTCCGGCTCCTCAAGATTTTTCTCATGCAAGATTAAACTGAATATCTTGTGCTAGCTTCCTTTTTTTCATCATTTTCTGACATTTTACAGACGGTACAACAATTCATTCTCAGTTAATTGAGAAATTGTTAGTTACCTTTTACTTTTAACTCTTTATTGTCCCAATCCTTTAACTTCCAGTCCAGTTTTTTGACCAGTAAACTGTGTTGTAGAAGACGGAGAGTTTATTTTCAGTCTGTTTTGAGCTCAGTTTTTAGACAGGATTTTCATTATTAATGGATCAGCAAAGCTCAGCCATTACCTGTTTGTATGTCGTCTGTACTGTGACTGTGATTTTAATTCATTAAGTCAAGGTGTAAGATAATCAGGTAACATTTATACAAAACACCTGCTTAACTAATGCATGACGTATGATGATTGAATACATGAAGTGAGGCTGAATGTATCATGAATTCCTGTTGATGATGGAGCCACTATGAGTGCGATTAGTTAACACTTAATGAATCAAAAGTTAATGAATGTTCACTCCATACATTGTGCCACCACAAGAGCTGGAATCCAGTTACAAAGAAAAGGTTCTTTCAGACACATGCGTTTGATCAACCTCTCTGAAATCGCAGCACTGCCCATTCAGTACCTATTCGTATTTACTTTTGATGACGGCCAGGAAATGTAGCTGTTCTCTACTATAACACTGTCAGTCTTACAACGGACAGTAATTGGAAAAAAAAAAAAAAGGATCAAAATCGATGCTGCCGAACCAGAGATATCCTGACGCCTACATTACCCATGACCCACAACTCGACCACTGACAGTTCGGTTGGAGATTATTTCACACATGTAGTAGAACTACCCAAGACCTGTAAACAGACTTTGATGTGAAACATTAACATATCTATCGTTCTTCTCTGATTTGTCAACCAGCATCTCCTCCTCAGTGTTTCTGCTTTAACGCGTCCTCCTCTTCTCTGCTACACTCCACTTCTCTCAACAATAAATACCATGAGAGCGTCGGCTCCTGCAGCAACATGTTGACATTTACATCTGGTAACCTGCAACAGTAACTGGATTCAGGCTCATTTGGTGGCAAATAAATAAATGTATGAAATAACTGCTCCTTCACTAACATTCATTAAATTAATGATCCATTAAGCATTAACTAATCTCATAAACTCATGGTGAGCAACAGGAATTCATGGCACATCGTGGATTCATTTCTACATGAAAATATGAAACTCATCAGTGGTACATGTTGTTATTGAGGAACAGAAAAATCTGTTTCATTTTAAGCTGCTTCTTCTTCGTTTCTTTTCCACATTTTAAGATTACGGGAGTTTCTCCAGCAGCTGACATCATGTCTCTATTTCCTGCAGGTGATCCCAAAACCTGGCAGAACAAATCTCTCCCTGGAGACCCAAACTACCTGGTGGGTGCAAACTGTGTATCTGTGCTCATTGACCACTTCTGAAGAGGGCAACAGCTGGTCTGTTACTGAATGTGATAAACTGGGGACCTCAGTTGCCCCTGCCGTGCTCCCTGCACCGTGGCGGGGTGCACAATGCTCGATGAAGTATGAACTTGATACTCTCACGTTGTTTACTGTGCCCAAAATTTGAAGAAAAAAAAAAGAAAAAAAAAAAAAGAAACAAACACACACACAAGGAGAGTCGGAGGAGTCCAGCATCTCCAAGGCTGTACTCTTGTTCTTTTCTTTCATTTTTTTTTTTCGGTGCTTTCAAGGCTTGCAAAAAATAAAGATTAAAAGAAGTTATTTAACAAAGGAACTGAAGTTGGAATGCATGACCGGTGCACAGACTGAATAATCTCATTTTGACTTTTTTAGCTAATTTTGTAAAAGGGTCAGAGCAATGCGAGACAAAGGAGAATTTTGGAAACTCGTTTAATATTGCAATGGGATTTTTGCGTACTGTAAGAAAAAAAAAAAACGCTCACAAACAGCAAAGTTGGTATATGCAAAACTTTTGTTTGTGAGTTCTGTGGTCATGCGTTTCACTCATGAAGGATCTCTGAGGACTTGAGAAATGCTGAATCTGACTCATGAAGGAAAACGTAGGCATCATAAAGATTAAAAAAAATAATATGAAGAATGAAGGATAAGTATTAGTATCAGACACCCGTTTGTTCTGACGGGGCTCTCTCTGTTTAAAACTGATGTTTTGTAGCAATGTTTTACCGTAGATAAATATACTGACTTGATTTTACAAACTCCTGCTGTCTAGAGATCTATGCATGTGCTATGACTCAGGTCCAGAAGCCTGCTACTACTAAGTTCAACACATGAAAATCCCATCGTACACTGCAAGCAGTGATGCCTTATCTGCATATTAACTTTTCAGTGAAACTTTAAAACATCGGATCCTTCAGTTATAGCGATCACTACAGAAAGAAAAAGTTGTCTCTGCATTTTCTCATAACCAGTGAACTTGGATTTAGCACACGAGAATAATTGAGGCTGATGAAAAGGTATGCTTTCTTTTACTGCTATGCATATGAAGTCTGAGGAAATACAAAAAGCTAGAAGATGTTTAAATTGTGGCTGTACATACTGCTAGCATATGGCCTTGGTTCTCTGTAAATGAACTTTTGTACATCTTTGTTATTTTGTATAAAAGAGAAAACGTTTGTTAAAAAAGACAAAGCGGTTACATTGGTTATGTTTGTATTCTGGTTATACCCCTGAGCCTTGGAACTGACATAAGCAGTAATAAGTCCGACTTTTCTACCAAACATATACACACACACTACTTAAGGCATTTTTAACAGTCAGAAAACTTTTTATTCTTATTTACAAAATAGAGAAGTGCTTGGTTTAAATGATTTTAAAAGATGTACTTGAGGGGGTCTGCTGTGAAGAGTGGTCCCTTCCTTTATTTGTGATACTGGATGCTGTATTGTGTGCCCTGAAATGTATTTTTGTACTAATAGACAATTTATTATGGCACATCAGTACTATTTTCTTTTGATATGATAACACTGCTTCAACCCAACACTAGTTTATTCTCCTGTGTGGCTGACATTCTTTTATTTATTTTGATTTGTCTTCGGTTCAACTTTTGTTTTCTTTGCGACACATTTCTAAGTATACCACTGTATTAATAAATAAATTCATTTTTAAAGTAACTGCCCCTTGGATTCGAGTGTTGCTCCAAACTTCCAGATGTTTTACATATCGACACACCCAGACTGTTCCAAACGGCTCGAGGGATTCCTGTGGGTTCAGAAGTTGGACGTTGTATTAACAGTATGGAATGCTAGATTTAAGTTTTCTACCATTCACAGCTGCTTCCTAAACACATTCAACATGTAAATGTAGTGAAGTGAACAGTGGGGGTGGATTATTCTGCAGATACAAAACGACAATCTTCAGTTAAAGATCCTCATGTTTTCTGTAAAAATGAATTTCCTGCTGTGTTTCTTAATCTGACCTTTTCTGGTTCACTGACACTGAATCAGAAATTAGTTCCTTTTTTGAAGATGTCCGTTATGGGTTTTCAACAAAAATTGTTGAAAATTAAATCTATTCCTTCTCCCTCGTTGACAAAAATCTAAAATCTATGAATATTCAAGTCGTATTCAACCCTTTACTGAGGTACGAGTCCGCTCTGTATGTGCATGCTGGACCATGACTGGCTCCCAAAATAGTTGTGACATCACACAATCATGTTTGTATGTGAATGTCTTAAAATGCATATTCAAGGTTTAAAAAAAAAAAAAAAAAAACTTTCAGAAAAGCTTAAACATCTGAGGGATGTAACTAAAGGCAAAAAACACTTAAGTGGAGGACGATTTAAAGAAAAAGGTTAAAGTTCATTGATAACATTAAAAATGTTACTTTACTTTAGTTTCTGAAACCGGAACAATTCATTGATTTCGACATGTTTGTCATGTGACCAAGCTTGTGACAAAGTCTGAGTATTGTTTCATCTCAAAGGTTGTGCAGGTCAGTCACCCCACCAGTCACAAAGCTGCTCTGTCCATAAAAAGTGATTACAGAGCACAGAGGCAGCTTGTAGATAAAGAACAGAGCAGAGTAACCTAAAGACCCAGACAATTCCTCCCCTGCGTTACATGATTAAGCTGTGGGTTAACAGTATGAGCCATTAGCACACACACAATCTGACAAAGCAAAGATTGGCTGTGTGTAACATCAGTGCAAAGGTCCACTGATAAACCCACAACAGATTGTACAATATGTGACATAAGTAGGTTTAATAACCATGTAAATCTGTGGAATAGTTAACCTGAATTATTCTTTACTGTATCTTCAGTCTGATGCAAAAAAGCTCTAGATGTTCTAGTAAGAAAAAAAGGTTGATCGCAAACGAAGAGAGGAAACGATCATCAGAGTTTAATCATTAAAAGTACAACAGTGGCAGTGAGACATACCTGTGTATCACATTATGGAAAACATTTACAAAACTGTAGAGAAGAACAGTAGCTATGTTAATTTAAAAAAAACATGATGTGACATTTCAATGTCAGTCTGCCCCTGAGATTAGTTGACCATGTTAAAAACAAACAAAAAAAGGTCCACGAGTGAGCTGTTAAGACTTTGTCTTCTGGCTCAGCGATGACTCATCTTAAGTTTCTGTGTTAGAGTTTGATTTCCCTATTAGCTATTGCTCTGTAGATTGTGTCAGTCAGGGGAACGTAAGTCTTTTTCTCAGGATCCAGGAAGTATAAAAGGTCTTTGATGTGAGCTGGGTTGAATCCCTCCTCCACCAACTTCACCTTCTTCATCTTGAATGTCCCCGTCATCTCCAGGCAGGGCTACAAAACACAGTTTGTGAAGGAGACGATTCAGTGCAGCGTAAGTTTTAAAAATGGCAACATACAGAGGAACAACACACCAGGGATGCACGACCTGTACCGACATTTTTAAGCAGATTCAATATGAGCCAGACGTCACAGATCCACATCAAATAGTTTCGTCATCAACGTCCTTATAGATTCAGCGTTTTCACTACATTCACTCACTCATTTGCAGTCAACGTGGGCATAGGTTTGTTCTCACATATATACACATATGTAATATAACTTATTTTCTTAATTTACATGAAAGTATATTATCTAGAAAATGACATGATTGATTGGCATGCTGTCCATGATGTTAGTATACCAAAAAGAAAGGCACATACTAACTCAGTAATCGCCCACAATTTCCTATATTATTATATGAAATATATACTATATTATTCCTACAGTATTTTATTTACTACAGAAAAATACTTGTCTTTTACTTTTATCTTTGATTGATGATCGGCTCTAGCGTCTTTTTTTTGGAGAATTTAGGAGCTTCTCCAATCTGAATGTTGGAGGATGGACAGTATGAGAAGGTTTTAAACAGAAACTGTAAAAGTGAGCGGGACATACCCAAAGGAGATTATGCCCTTGGGTAATCAGCTAGTTTCATTTTAGAACTGAACTGAGCACAGAGGTTTCATTACATACAAATGAGGTACAATCAAAGCCGCAGTAGATGAAGGAGAAGCTTTTGGGAACAAGTGCAGCAATAATGATCAGTTTCATGCTCCATATGACAAGTGCCGAAAGCTTGCAGGTGAAAGGTGAAGTGGCAAGGCAAATCAATTTTTTTGTTACCTGAATCCTGATGAATCGAGGTCTTGCGTAAGCTGGGAGGTAGTTGACGACCTGCTTGAATGCGTCTGAACAGTCAAAATCTTCTCCTTCTTTCAAAGTGACAGCTGCCATGCCGATCCGCCCCTCGTGACCTTATCAGAGAAAATATTAGAATGCATAGTTACCCTACTAATTATTTGTGTTCATTTTCCCTTTCTAAAACTGATGTGAAACATTTCTACAAGACTATTTATGAGGGTGTTGTCACCTTCAACTTTAACACCATAGACGTTTGCCTCCAAAATGCAATGAGCCATTGTGAGAATATCTGCAACCTCCGATGTGGCGACGTTCTCTCCTTTCCATCTGTAGCAAAAGCACAGAGACAGTTTTTCATCAAATAAACATGCATGCCGTCCAAGGATGGAAAATTTGACTGTCACTATAATGCCTTAATTGTAGCAGTCTATTATACTGTGAAAACAATAACAAGATGAATCGCCACTTTGAGTTTTACACAGCATCAAGTCTCAGCAGGTTAAACTCATTTTGATAAAGCTGGACTCACTAGTGTAGCTAGTCATTCTCATTTACATATTTTTCTTTTTTTGTAAAGAATAAAATATGCTGCATTCACGTGGTGTCGGAATAATCAGAAAAATTAGATTCCGACTGGGAAAATTCACGTGAAAGCCCTAACAAGTCGTATATGTGACGTCTTATATGCAGAAAAATGGCGACACAAAAGTCACAATTTACCTGAAAGTGTCACCAACTCGATCCTGGAAGTACACAAAGTTCTCATGGTCCAACCGAAGCAAGTCGCCCGTGTTGAAGTACAGGTCGCCTTTTTTCAAAACATCACGAAGCCTCTTCTTCTCGGTCTGTTGCTGGTTACCAGCATACCCAACAAAGGGAGACCTCCGAGTTATCCTTCCCACCAAAAGTCCCGTCTCACCTGACAAAAACATACATGAAAAATGTCCATCACAGTTTCCCCATAGACCCATGGTGACGTCTTCAAATCACTTGGTTTGCACAATCAACAAAGATTTACCAAATAAAACAGAAGAAAGCAGCACATTGCTACATTTTAGGGGCTGGAACCAGTTAGTGTTCAGTGTTTTTGCTTAATGAGACCAATCAACATGTCAGTTTTATTTCAGTAGACTAATTGACTAACAGTTTCAGTACTAAAGATGGAAACTTAGATACTAGTAAGAAAGAGAGAGAAATAAGAAAACAGGTGTTGAACAGGTTTGTCGGCGTGTAATATTAATTCACCTCTGGCTGCTTCGATGCACAGACCCTGAGAGTTTCTGACAGGTTCCTCCTTCTCAATGTCAAACTTGATCAAAGTGTAGGGGAAGAAAAACTACAAAGAAGAAAGAAAAGTTTACTTTCTACAGTCAATTAAGTTTAGCTTTGCTGGTTTAACTGGAGTCTGCAGACATGCTAGCATCTCCGTGAGGTTGTATTTAGGCACAGCTGTACTTTGAGCTAAATGCTAAAGCTAGAATATTCACACAAAAACATGATAACATGCTGACGTTTAGTAGGTCTAATGTTTACCATGTGCACTTTCTTAGTTTAGCGTGTTAGCATGCTAACATTTGCTAATTAAGTTAGCACTCAAAGTATAGATGATGATTGATGATTAGTTTAGCGGGTATTTGGTCATAAATCAAGTATTGGACAGATCAACACTCTGACTTAATGGTGCTCAATAAAATGTCTGAGACCACTAGTGTCATTACAGTTCATCCCGAGGGGGGCATGAATCTCTGTACCAGATGTCATGGTAATCTGTCCAGTAGTTGTTGAGACATTTCCCTCAAAAACACAAATGTGAACCTGCTGGTGGCGCTATAGAGGAAAAGTCAGAGGATTTGGGGATTCAACCTCTTGGGACCTTGAATGTCTGTACAAAAAGCTGTGTCAATCCAGCCAACATTTTTTGAAACATTTCAGTCTGGTAGACAGACAGACAGACAGACAGACAGACAGACAGACAGACAGACAGACAGACAGACAGACAGACCATCCCTGGAGCCACACCGCTGCCATGACTAAAAACACCAGATGTTCCTCTACCTACCCTGTGGACAAAATTGGCTCGGCCCACTGCACCGATCTTGGACGTGTAGTTTATGAAGCCAATGTTTCCCTCTGTGGCAGCGTACAACTCTCTGACTTTAATGTCACCGAAGCGATTCAGAAACTCCGACCAAACGTCTGTCCGAACTCCGTTGCCGATGGCGATCCTCACTTTGTGGTTCTTCTCGTTGTCTTTCTGCAAACAGTGACATCAGAGATCAGTGCAGAAATATCCACCATTAGAACAAGACTTGAGTAACTTAACCACAATGTTGGTGTGGATTCCTTTTACCTTGGGCGTGTTGCAGAGGTAGCGCATTGTTTCACCAATGTACTGCATCACTGTCACATTATATTTCCTGCAGTCGTCCCAGAACTGAGAGGCAGAGAACTTCTTCCTCAGAATAATGGTTATACCTGCAATTGGCATGATATTAACACAGCTTTCATCTTACTGCAAACATAATCACATCCTTAAGTGCCCACACCAGGTGTGTGAATGATTTTGTTGGACCAGGACTAAGAGGATCATTACCTCTCTCGATGGCTCCAGACATCCCAATGAGGAAGCCTGCGCTGTGGTACAGAGGCAGATTGATGTAGAAGACGTCGTCTGCTGTGACTCCACACAACCCCTGGATGAAGGAGGCGGCCCACACCCTCTCATGGGTGACAACAGCTGCTTTGGGCAAACCTTCCAAGGTCAAAGAATAATAAGTCATCTGAGTCATTTGAGTAATACAGATAGTTAGTGTCAGGAAGGAGGAGTTTTTACAAAACAAACACCCACAGATAATCATCAACCCACTCCCCTGTGACTGTAGTAGGCATGTTTTCTTTAAAGCTGCACTAATCAATATTTGTATATTAACAATAGATGAAATTATCTCTCATCTTTCAAGCTCATTGTTTTGGTTTTACAGCCTGCAACTTTCAGTCTAACCACTCTCATGTAGAAACTTTCCCAGACACAGCAGGCAGCTGTTTTCAGCAACCAAAAGAAAACGCTGTATAAACTCACTGTGTGCTACCTGCTCTGCACCAAACAGTCAAAGTTAGCGACTAGCTGGTGAATGTAGTGGAGCATTTAGCAGCTTAACAGCAAGATATTTCCATCAGGAGTTGGTACAGGTGACCAGAAACAAGACTCCAGATAAACATTAATAGTGGTCCGTGTCTGCTGGATGTCTAAATAAGATAACACGTCCAAATCCAGCAGAAGGTGATAATATGTTAATCTTTACAGCTTGTTGTGATACAGCTCAGTTGACCAGACCAATCAATTAACTCAGTATAAACATTAACTTTGGTTTGTGTTGTGTTCAATTCTGGCTCAGGGACATTTGTTGCAGGTTTGCTCCTCACTGCTTTTCCTGTCTGATACTCAGAAGAAGCACATGCAAAAAAAACAATCAAAGAACCAAACATATCTTTAAAGACAACATACTCTGAAGAAGATCTGCAGGGACTGAAATGTTAGATTGATGTGCTGGTTCAACAAATGCCTTAAATGCAAAAACAGTGTGTGGGAGGATATTGAGTTCCTCTCTAACACGTCTGCATAAGAAATACTGAATGTGTGAAAACGTCAAACAATTAAAGGGGCAAATTAAAATATCTGAAAGTCTGACTAACTCAAGTATCAGCACACTCCACAGAACTGAATGTCTTATAAAGGTTCCCTGTGGAGTTTCTGGCCTCTAGTAGGGCTTTGGAGCAGTTTTTCTATGAATGGGTCCCCATTTCCCAAGGCAGGGAAGAAGACTGCTGACCAGTAAACACTTTTTTGTCATTGTATTTTCAGAGAAGTTTTCTTCATGTACCTGTGGTGCCTGACGTGTAGATATACAGAGCAGTGCTCCTGATGTTGACGTTGGCCCTGAGGTCCCGGGACATGGGCTGATCTGAGGCCTGGGCGATCTTGTCAGACAAAGAATTGATGCCCTTGACGCTGCAGCTGTCTGACAGGAGGTACACACTGATACCCTGCTCTCTTAGCGTCGGTAAAACCTCTTCCACGGCGTCCTGCAGCTCTGCAAATAACAGAAAAACATTCAGCTCCATACAGTGTGTCTGTTGCGCAATGCTGCACATGTAACACATGTAAGGCCTGCATCATGTTACCTCAGATCCCACTGGGATATGAGCACATGGTGCAGGCACTTCAGCTCAAATGTATGCATTTCTCAATGGTGAAATTCCAGTGCTATAACAGGAACACAGAGAAACTAACTGAGTGCAATATTTCCTTAAAATAAAGTCTATCTTCAGGACTGAATGCAGAGCGAACCGACTGAAAACATATGGGGCAAAAAGTGATTCAAACTTTTGTTCCTGACAACAGTTTGCTGTGGAAACTGTATGATACAGTACTGCCTTCATGTGACTCTACTTTAAAATGTTCACAACTTTAAAAATCACACTGCTCTGAAATCACTGCAGTGAGCATTCATTTCAGTTTTTATCTCATGCATCTGGCCAAACTTCTCACCTGTAGTGCAGATAAAACTGATCATGAACAGCCACTGAGCAGTGAAATAAGTTTTTTAATGAATGCTGTTAAGCACGGTAAGAGTCATTACCTCCATAAACCCATAACTACCAGCAATAAGAGTGATAATGTAGGAGAATTATAAGGCCGAAGATGTATGATCTGATATCAACCGGTTGGACGCCAATAGGAGTTCAAGAGCCAGTGTGGGAACAATAACAAAAGATATGGTTATGCAGTCTACTGAGCAGGTTAAGACACTTAGGCTTGGTGGGAAACATCTGGAAAATAGGAGATTGGGTAACTAGGAATAGATACAACGTCAAGGTATACTGCCAATAAGAGAACAGTGACCTGGGAGAGTGTCATGGTGTTCTGCCAGAAAAGAACACCATGACCTGTGTTGGGACTCATCATTCAAGGGACCAGATGTTTCTTTGCTCCACTGGACAAAGGAACTCACACTCCACAGTTCCTCACCGTTCACACCTGGGGACGACCCTTCCCCCAACGGACCTTACTGGCCAGCCAGCGTGGGTCAGCATGTGACATGTGACCCCCAAGGGTGTCACCAAACAAAACCAGATCTCTGGCCCTCTTCTCTCTCTCTTCTCTTCTAGGCTTGCTCTGGAGAGCAGCTCCAGCTCTCTCCTCTCGGTTCTTCAAAGGGCAACAAGGCCCCAGCCCAGGTCAGCTCTGCTACCTGAGAAACCAGCTCCCTCGCCGGCCTACTCACAGCAGCCTGCAAACGCTCTCCTCCTCAACAGCAGCGACCTGCTTCGGATTAACTGAGAGTAAACCAAATTCTCTTCAGAATCAGCAGCTACGACACAAGGCCAGCTGATTTTCCAAGCAACAGGAGTCATAGCAGAGTTAGCTTGGAACAATTCCAGTTGAGTTTATCCTATAGGAAGTGTAAGAACCTCAGTTAAGCATTTGAATACCACGTGTTCAATGATATCTAGTAAAGCTGTCAGAATTGGCTATTAATTCAAGTGCTGCTCCCTTTAACTTAGACACTGTGTACAGAGAGCTTGTACCTGGCTGTTACTGCCAAGCATTTCAGCCTGAGTAAGAAATAGAGCCTGAGATAGAGCCACAGTGTGCTACCAGCCCTGTGAAACCCAAGTTCTGCACCGAGCTGTTACTGCCTTGCATTACAGCCTGAGTCAACTTGAAGAGATAATCCTTGGACTGTTACTGCCTTGCATCTCAGTCATTGCTTTTTGAAACATTTCTTAAGCAGACAGTAAACCTGAACTTGCCTTTACTGTCCCTAATCTTTATGCCCACTAGCGTAGCTACCCCTCCTCCACAGGAAGCTACCCCCCATAGTGTAGGCCACTGCATTGTTTAGTTAGGCTAGTGTACTGCCAAACTACACTACAAGGTGTCTTCCAGCGCAACACCACGGCCAACTACATTGCCTTCTTGTTTTGCAAAACAACTTGTTTAACCTCCCTCTTTCCCAGACACAACAATGGAGAACTCCTGTGTAGAGCAGTTTATTTCTTCCCTAGCACAGAGCCTGAAGCCTGGCTACCTAGAATTTATCAGCAAGTTAAATTCCAGTGAGTGCAGTAAAGAAATAGACTTGCTACTCAGTGACAGAGGTGATGCTCAGACTGCATCCAAAGGCCCATTGTTAAGATGTGTGCTGTTGAACTTCCACAGGCAGACCAGCATTGCCCTTCAGAGCCAAGCAGCCCTAGAGGAGGAGGTAAAATCGCTTAGAGCTCAAAATGCTTTTCTCCTCCAGGAAGTTAAGGAGGCTAACAAGAAAGCCATGCGCTACTTAGGAGACCTGCATGCAGCAGAGTTAGATCTCTGTTCACACAAGGAAGAATTGTTAAGGGTTAAATCAGAATGCCTTGCTCCACCACAATCGATCAGTGCTTGTGATTCTGGTTTTTCTGCTTCACACTCTTCCCTTAATGACAGGTTAACTCCGCCTCCACTCAGAAGATGGGATCAATTCCCAACTGACCCTAAGTCCTTGGAAATGAAGTCAGCTCCTCAACCTCCACTGAGAGACAGAGGTTACACCCACCTGACTTCCCATCTTTGGTTGCAGCTTCTCAAATCAAACACTCCCGCCATGAACATCCCAATGACTTTTACAAACATTTGAGGCATGCATATTTTCAGGGTAGGAACACACCAGGCTTAGAGGAAAACTCCACCTTCAAGTCTTTGTTCCTGCAAAACCTCCATCCTTGTGTACGCACTCACGTTACACTGATGACGCATCAAGGTAAGCCCACCATGCAGGAAATAAAGAAGATGACAAAAATGGTTTGGGGAAACCATGGTCACTTCCAAGGCAAGGGGTAAAACAACTGAGCCTAGCAGCTCAAACACCTTAGCGTCACACAGACATGTAACCTCAAAAGATCACCCTCAGAACAGATCGAAGGGGGGTGACAAAAGGCCACATACGGGCGCTGAGCGTAACCGCCACGTCCACCAAGTGCGTAGAGACAGGCACTCCCACAATAGGAGCAGGAGATGGCCTTACGCAGAAATTCTGGCTCAGACACAGGACCAGTCAACTCATGGATCAGATAATGACCACGTCATCTCTGACCATGTTATCTCAGACAGTGACAATGCCTCTGAATGTTCCTTCTTCAGCTACTCAGTGTTACAACTTTGTGCCACAAGTTAGGGAAAACTTAAAGCACCGGCGCTCCAGAGTTCCCCTTTCCTTACGGCGCACAGCTACATCCTTGCTGGTAGAGGGGGTGGGAATGTCTGTACAGTCTTGTAAGAAGAGAAGTTAAACACAGACGGCACAGCCTCGGGATTCAGCCTGTTGGTGCGGCAAGCGACTAGGACACCGGATTCAAAACTCATCTTCTCCACATAGTGATAACTACTGGTGTGTTTAATGTTGCACAAGTGTGAATGTTGCCAGCCCCTAGGTGTGTGCCAGGAATAACAGAATGCAGGAGTTGGTCAACAGTTAGGCAAGAGTAGTACTACGAAGCCAAAATGATTTGGAAAACAGGATGCACATATACACACATAGCCATTTGAGATATAAAAGGACATGTCACGTTCTGTGTTTGGGTTTTGTTGTCTCCGTCTATGACTGCAAGTGGGCCGCATTGAATAAAGAGAGACTCCCCGCTTTGACACCTGTGTCTCGACTGTCTTATTCCTTTGTTGATCCACCACTTCTCGCCACAACAATAACTAATCTGAAAATTAAAATGCAAAACTCAAGCTCAAGTAATGCTAAGTAACTATTTTAATTATGTGTGAGTAGTTTAATTTGCAGCAACCAAGCCTGGATTACCAACCAGGCTAATGCTGCACTCTCCTATAAATCTAGGGTAACTGACTAACTGTCAGTTAGTTTGGTAATATGCACCCCTAAAGCACAGTAAAAAAATCTAGTCTCAAACCTTTCATTATCTCCGTTTATGCTGGTTTGACCACATGCATGATCCTGAATACATGTATGCAACAATAAATAAAGGGCAGAGTAGCTGAAGTCCAACCAGTCCAACTACAGAAAAGTTGGACTGGTTGGTTTCTGGATATAATGAAACCACCATGTGCAGTCGGCTGTGTGCCATGCAACAGATGGTGACTGGGTCCAGAAAAGATGCTGCAGCACGTCATTCATCTCGTTTTTATCTTATCAAATATTTTGATTGTAAATTACATGTCTGGACAATCAATATCTGCAACTGAATGCAAAACTGTATTTCAGTTCATCTGAATAAACTTAATATAACAAAAAGAAAACTTCTAATTCATGAAAACTGGCTCCTATATGACAATCATCATTGTATAAGCAGTGTTTTACTGTCATAGCTAGTTTGAACTACTTTATACAGTTTGGTAGTCCAGTGGTCTCCAACCTTGGGGTCGGCTCCCTCCAAAGGGTCACAAGATAAATCTGAGGGGTCATGAGATGATTAAGAAGAAGAGACAAACTTCTGCTGCACACATTAAATTTTTTTTTTTTTTTTTAATATTCTTTAATCTTAAGTTTTTTTGTGAGCTATTAGAGAGTTTTGCCTCTTTGTGGCTTGAACAATTATTTTAAAGGGACCTTGAATCTGAAGGGGGAGGAACGGCTCATACTTGAGATTTTTCAGACATGTGAACAGTGAAGAGGGGCCCCAAAAAGACACTGGTTTTTGTAAGTGGTTACAGACTCAGAAGGTTTTGGAACTACACCTAGTTGTATTTTATAAGATAATTATATGTTTATGTAAAAAAAAAATGCACTTAAGTAGCAAATATAGTAAAGCATAGTAACTGCTGGTGTCAACGTGCTTTCCACCACTGGAAGTTGCACAAACTGGACGGAAAGCACCAGCAGGTCATGCTCGTACTTTGAACTCTGCACTGCACTTGGGGGGGTGGGGGGGGGGGCACAGGGTCCTTCTCTGCGCCCCTGACAGACTGATAAACATCTTACTGTCTTACCTGGACAGATGATGATCACTTTGGCCCCGCAGCAGGAGAAACAGTGCAGCAGAGACTTGGATCTAATGTTAAAGTTTAGCAGAGCGACCGGACAGCCCAGCTTGGCCAAACCGAGCCAGGTCCAAACGAAATTGGGCTCGTTGGCCAGAAACAAGGCGACCGAGTCCCCCTCCTTGAGCCGGGCTTCAGCCTGCAGAGCTCTGGCCACCTTGTTGCTCTGTTTATCCACGTCGCCATATGAATATTCACGACCTTCAAAGTGCAGAAAGATCTTAGCGGGATGCCTCTGCGCTGCATCCAAGAAGCAGTCCAAGATGCTGTAGAAGGGTTTGATTTTCTTGTATTTTAAAAGCCTGACGCCAAGTTTGATGCTCCTGCGGATGTACGCGCAGTCCTCGCCAAAGTACGGGAAAAATGTTTTGAGGAATGAAAAGGACAGAATAGCCAGTCCGGCTAACACGGTGAACCAGATGTACATCTTGCAGAGCGCACTACGCTGGACGCATCTGTCAGAGAAAGACGGAGGAGGTGCGGAGCAGTGGCAGCTCACTGAAATTTGTGACAAAGTTCACCCTGTGCCTGTCCGGGGCGGCGCTCGGCTCCGGCCCGCAGCTGACCCCTCCTTCATTCCGGAATGTTTACTAGTTGCCAGATCTGGTGTTTCCACGTCCACTCTGGACTGATTTCACTCTCGTTCATCTTCATGTTTATCTCACTGTCCTGCGCTATCGTCCACCTCTTCTTCTCTTAAAATGCTTCCTCTGCGCAGCATCTTCGTCAGAGAGAAAAGAAATTCAATAAAACATGCAGAGAGAAGCTCTGCATTTCAAACTGATTTGCTCCTGCGACACCACCAGGTTGTGACGGATAACTGCGGCTCATTTCCTCTGTGATTCTTTTTTTAAACAAGGATTTACGTGTCAGCAGGAGCAAGAAGACTGAAATACATTTATAGCAAGAGTCACAAAGCAGCACGGGAACTCTGCAAATGGCAACTCTCATTAGAAATCCGCAATCTGAGCCAGTGGTGGGCGTGTACTCCGTAAACCGAACTGTATTTGTCTGCTGATTTATGGGGAGGAGCGTGCGCACACACACACACACACACACACACACACACACACACACAGAGAGAGAGAGACAGACAGACAGAGAGGTCAGAAATAACACAAACATCCTACACTGCTGTCTCCCTGCAGACACTTTTAGTGAAGCTCATAATCAGTTTTTGTGAGACTGCCAGGGATGTTATTGATCTAACTGTGCAGTAAATGCAGTAATTAAGCCTCCTGTTAAATGGTAAGGGTCTCTTGTTGTGTGGAGCAGGGTAGCAGACAATGATCATTTTCATTATTAATAAATCACCGTATTCCCAATAAATCAATTAAATGTTAAATCTACACAATGTGGGTCATTTAATCGATCTGCTATATCCAACAGAGTGTAAACTCCAATAACATTACACACCTTTTTGTTGATCGATGATTAATTAATAATGAAAACTGTAATATGGTTGTGATAAATGATGAAATATTTCATTAATGTAAAGTTTTTGACACATGCATGTCTGTACAAAAATGATTGGCAATCCATCCAGGACCTGTTGTAATGTCGACTATTGCTGCATCCCTAAGTCCACACTGCCAGCCAGGTCAAAGTCATGACGACACAAAAAAACTGCATTAGCCAAGTGGATGATCGACAGGAGACACTCAACAATACTGACTACAATTATTATTTTAAGTGGAATACTTTCATTAAATCCAATGTGTTACAAAGTCAGTGTTACATATGAAAACTGTCGCATCAGAAATCTTCCGTCTACTTTCGCGTAGTTTGCTGATTGTTACAAACCAAAGTTAGGGCCAAGGTTAATGCGCCAAAGGATATTTTATTTGAAATTAACAGACTCAAATATTTACAAAAAATAAGCAGAATGTAAACGAGTGTGTGTTAAAGACAGCAGAACATATCAAACACACCAAAACCTGCAGATATTATATCACTCTAATCATTCAGCCTTAAAAAGAGGGAGGGACGTGACAACACACGCAACAATCATAGAAAGAGGACAGCATTGCATACACTGACAAAATCCTCAACAGACCAGAATGCATTGCAACGAGAAACAAACCGTTTGAACGAGACGCTCACAGCGCTCAGTTTTCTCAACTGGAAAAATTAGCTTTCTTGCCCCGGTTGAAGCTACAGTTTCGCAGAATTTGTGTGGAGTAAATGTGTCAATCTCACGGCTCAGTGCAACACGATCAAACACGATCTCTGGAGGAGAATTAAATCATTTGCATTTCAGTTACTGCTGAAGTGGAAGTACAGACGTAAAGTGGTGAAGATAAATCACAACACTTCAGATGCATTGAACATCTCAGGTGGGGTGGGTGACGTGTTACAGTGCAAACAGGTGGATTTTTCTTTTAAAAAGAGGGGGCGTGAAAATCTCTTTAAATTTTAATTTCCCCTAAATTAACTCCATTGAATATGTCCATCATAAGTGGGATGTAATTCTTTTTTTTTTCATCCAGAAAGTAGACTGGGTCCGTTATTAGATTTGGGTTGAAGCCCTCCTCCACCAGCTTCACCTTCAAATGCTTGAACGTGCCCGTTACGTCCAAAGAGCTCTGTAACAGTCACAGTGCAGTGAATTATTTGGGTGAAAAAAAAAAAAAGAAGAAAAAAAGAAGTAATGCCAACACCACGGGTGAACACTGTAAAAAGATGACTGGAGTAAAGGTACCTGAATCCTCATAAAACGGGGTCGTGCATAGGCTGGCAGGAAATTTTCAACATGTTTAAAAACATCCACGGAGTCAAATTTCAGTCCGTCTCTTAAAGTAACGGCAGCCATCCCAGCCCTGCCCTCCTGACCTGCAGAGAAGAGTCAAAGCCACAGGCACTAGTTTACTGATGGAAAGCATACATCATTTAAAGTACATAAACAATGGTGCATTCAGTGACATAATGATAACCAGTAACCTTGTCGTTATTGTTCATAAAAGGGCAGTTTACTAATTTTACACATTAATATGAGTTTACTACCAGTCAATAGTGGTGATATGTAGCCAGTGATGAAACTGGAGGACAAAATAACCCTGATGATGTCAAACTAGGGGTGTGGGGGTTGAAAGATGTGGACATTAAACAGAGCAGGGAGGGTCTAATAAAAGACCAGTTACATTATGGGAAATGCAGGACCCAGTGTTTTTGGAAAAGCAAGGAACATGAAGACGAGAAGTTGTGACAACAGCACACGTTTCAGCAGGAGCCTCTCCTTAAAAGGCATTTGTGGTTTGTGTGAGGAATGGAAAAAAAAAAAAAAGGTCAAATCTTGTTTTCTCAGCTCCACACACGCGGCTGATCGCTGATTGACTGTTTCACAGTTCTGATATGTGAACAGTGTGGGGGCGGGGCCTTTCAGGTGCTGTTTCAAAACGCTTTGTCTGAAGCATATTGACACCTTCAGAGTGTCAGGAGATCTCAGACTCTCTTAAACAAATTTTGATCATCTTTTCTTTCATCCACGAGCAATCCAGGTTTATGGAAGTTAAGCTGGTGGTCGGACATCAGCATCAGTGTTGGCGCTCAGCCTGACTGGACATGATGGACACCGTTGGCTGCTTCTGTTTAGATCAACCGTTGTGGCAGTCAAAATGAAGTTGAGTGTTTGCTTTCATTGTTCTTTCAGTTCAGGTTGACTGTGAACTGAGCTGCCATAACGTGTTGCAATTTACATTTCTTCACAGAAAATATGTGACGGGTGTCGGGTGTGTTTAGTTATCGCGCTGTGTTTTGAACTTAGCCCTCTGTGCTGCATGTCGTTCCTTTGCCGTCTCTGATTGATTACCACTTTACATAACCTGCGTCCGAGTTCAAGGGTGGGATCCTCTGAGAGCGCGTGAAGATCGGACCCTGAGACGACTTTAAAGCCAGGATGAACTTGCTACCACTCATCAGTCTGGTCTCACAGAGTCTCACACTAATGATGCATTCAGTTGGTCCTTGTCTGCTTATGAAGTCAAAGTTTATGACCAGGACACTGACTTCAACTGACCAACAAAGTGTAAATATAGGCGCCACCGGGAAACTGAGACAAGGTCCACGATGCCTGAGCTTATAGTAGGAGCAGTGCCTCTTTACTTGCTGCTCGACACATGGGTGGACTGGCAAACGATGAGTCTTGTTTGCCCTTGTTCTAGGTGAATGTTGCAAACGGTGACGTTCTTGCTTAACTTCACTCTGTGTTTCCACCCTGTAGTGATTCTTAGGAGTTAAGTTCAACTGATCAACCACCTGGGGGCAAATACATGGTAAATCTGATGTGGTCATAAGATATTTACCGACTTTACAAGATGACAAAGAACATCTGACTACTATTGAACAACTAACTCACAGGATACTGCGGCTGTAAAGCTTAAACTGGTTGTGTAAATTCAGGCATTAGACGGCTGAACATTGTGAAATAGGACAAGTCTTGTTGGTCTGTTATTAAATTCAGGCTGAACCCTCGAATGAACAAACTACTTATTCATTTCAGTTCTAAAATAATTATGTGACATTATCGTGACTGAACTACACTGTCAACAAGGTGTTCACTTTGGGCTTGTTGACTTGCTCAGGGCATCAGAGGGATAACGATAATCAAGCTTCTGCTGAAAATCCATTCAGGTAAATATGATGTGAGCTTTTATTAATCTGTTTAAAGTTTCATATTTCTGAAGGAACATGTATGTTAGAGTAAAAACAATTCATCAATTCGCTGATTTACAGAGAATTGATAGTTTTGTTAAAGTCATTCACAAAAAATACCAAACAATCCCTTGTCGCTGGAATTTTTTAAATTTCTTGCATTAAAAAAAAATCGATTTTGAAGACAGCGAACTGGCTTTTATGATCTTGTGATGGACGATTTGTCATTGTTTTCTAAAATTTAACAGATTATTATTATTGCAGATGAATTACCTGGAACTTTAACTCCATACACGGTGGCTTCTTTGACGCAGCCAGCCAGCGAGATGACGTCTGCGACCTCAGTGGTGGCCACGTTTTCTCCTTTCCATCTGTTGACAATAAATTTTTTTTTAAAAACCTTAAAGCCGGCGAGCGCTCAGACGTTTCTGCTGCATTCGCCTGAAACAAAAGATGAACTCACCTGAACGTGTCTCCAACTCGATCCTGAAAGTAGATGAAATGATCCTCATCGATGCGCATCAGGTCGCCGGTGTTCAAGTACACGTCTCCTTTCTTGAAGACATTATGCAGCTTCTTCTTCTCCGTCTGCTGCAGGTCTCTCACATAACCAGAGAACGGAGCCCTCGCTGATATTTCAGACACCAGGAGTCCAGGCTCACCTGAGGGCAGTCATCTTAAAGTGTCATTAAATGTAATGTTATCCTGTATGTGTGTGTATGAGGTTACACTGTTTTCTAGCGTAAAAGAAATCAGATCTTTGATGGAGTCATGTACGACAGACACTTAAAGCAGAGGCATGAAAAGTGTTTTTAAGTCTTGTAAACATTCACTTCCTTTACAATTGTTAAGTGGCAGTGTAGAGCACAGGAACCTAGCCTAATTAAGGAAGGTATAAAATGGATTAAGTGTTTTTAATCATGTACAGAACCCACCATGCTGAAAGGTACTTGGGTGATAGCAAGAATTTTACAAACACTACCGTCACAAGTCAAAGCAGCTCTTCCTCCCAAACATCATTTTAAGACCAAGAGATTCTGTTAAATTTATTTGAATATTTCTCCTTTTTTTTATACAATTCTTCATTCATTAAAACCAGTTGTATGTCCCTGAGTTTCTATACATGATGTAATAATAGTCTCTATCTTTATGCCACCAGGGATACATTCCAGTAACTGTTATATTTAATCTATTTATTCATGTATTTCTTAAATCTTCTTTGCCTCAAAACTGTCAAATGTAGGGACACTGATTTTAAAACTACAGGTTCAGGTAACTATGTGTAACTTGAAATTATAAAATATAAAGTGTAACCATATTCCATGAAAAATACATAAAATAGACTTCTGTGTCTACAGCACTGGCACTAACACACCTTTGTCGGCCTCAATGCAGAAACCAGATGAATCCCTCACAGGCTCTCCTTTTTCTACGTTGTATTTGATCACAGCATGAGGAAAAAATCTCTGCAAGACAATAAACAAAACACATTGATTATTACTTATTGATTGACACCTTTCACTTCATAATGCAGAATGAAACCTGGACTTTTACCTTGTTGAGGAAGGTGTCTCGCCCAATAGCTCCGATCTTGCCGCTGTAATTCAGCAGAGCAAAATTCCCCTCCGTTGCTCCATAAAGCTCTCTGATCTCAACGTTTCCAAACCTGCTTATGAAGTCCCTCCACACATCTGCTCTAATCCCGTTGCCTATTGCAAGTCTTACTTTGTGGCTTCGATCACTGAGTTTCTGTCGGGAAAGAAAACAGTAAGTAAGAAAAGGTTTCTTATTATTTCTGGTGACCTTTAATGTGTCAGACCCGTTGATGTTAGTGCTGCGACATACAGCACACCGACATACCTTTGGTGTGTTGCAGAGGTAACGCATAGTTTCACCTATATACTGTATGACAGTGGCGTCATATTTTCTGCAGTCGTCCCAGAACTGAGAGACAGAAAATTTACTCCTCAAAGCCACGGTGATACCTACACACAGCAACAAGAGGACAAACAACCATAAAGAACAAGGTTGGTGATAATCAGTGTTTCTGTCTTCGTCAACAAATACCATGAAAAAAACAAAACCAATGATGAATTCACTCTACGGAGAAAATATTTTCTGCACAGGCTGATGTGGCTTATTTCTTGGTTTAAAAAAAGAAAAAAAAACCAACACAGTTGCAGTAGATGAGATTCATTATCAGTATATAATATTACCAAAAAGTATGCGTACCTCTTTCAATGGCTCCGGTGACACCAATGAAGCCGGTGCTGTGATACAGAGGGAGGCTGATGTAAATCACATCTCTAGAGTTCACTCCTGTTAAGAACTGAATCGAAGACATGCCCCACAGTCTGGCATGAGTGATCACTGCTGCTTTAGGGAGACCTGGTGAAGAGGAGCCAGAAGGTGTGTGTGTGTGTGTGTGTGTAGGTACAGCTTCCTTTTACTGTTGCATCCTGCACATTAGCACCTGCAGTAGCTCACCTGTTGTCCCAGATGTGTATATGTAGGCTGCCGGACTCTGCAAGGTTAAATGTGACCTTAAATCCTTGGATAGAGGCTCAGAGGAGGCCTGGCTCATTTTCTCTCTGAAGCTCTCCACACCTGCAGCTTTGCATCCGTCAGCCAGGATGTAAACACTGACCTGCTGCTCCAACAGACTGGGCAGGACCTCCTCCACAGCATCCTGTAACTCTGCAAATAAAACCAAATGAACGTGTTCACTGCCGATGACAGACTTAAGAAGATTAAGAAATATCTAATAAAAAATGTCTTCATCGTTATCTTCAGCAGAAACGTATGATTTAGATACAGAATCCGAAACGCGTCAAGGAGCCACAAGTACACACTGCTTTTTGTCACAAGTCAAAATATCTGGAAACCAGAGGTTTAATCTTTAAAACGATAGCTGGTCAAACATGTTTTGTATCTAACATCTTAATGTGCAAAGTAACAGACGACTAAAGCTTTCAAATACACGTAGTGAAGTAGAAGTATCAAGTAGCATAAAAAGGAAACACGACAAGTACAGCGATTGAGTAAATCCATGTAGTTACTTTCTACCACTGCTCATCTGTGTTGTCAACATGTAGCAGGTAGGAGACCTCCTCTCTAATGCTCTGGCCTGTCCTGTATTCTTCTCTCCTTCTGCTTTCAGTCAGACTGACTTCAACACAATAACAACTTTCAGCAGTTGTTTCTTGAAGTGTTATGTGGCACACTTATCCTGCGCATTGCAAATGATAACAAAATCAGCTCTTCATCTGATGATACCGACATGTGATAATATTAGTGCAAAGGGAACTGAAGTTACATGTTGTGAAACATGAACCCAACCCTGATGTCCAGCAACGAAAAAAAGAAAGTTCCAGACCATGATGTTAAATCTCAACATGTTGCTTTGAGCAGAAAGAGAGACACCCAGTGGTGGAAGGGAACTGAGGACATTATGTACTGTACTTGATATGCACAGAACAATTTTGAGGTATTGGTAGTTCATGTGAGTGTTTCTATTTTTCATGTCACTTTATACTATTGCACTTTTTAATATTTAAGAAATAAGACTTTTCATAAAAAATACATACACGTTGGGCTGATAAAATAAAATGTATTCTTATAGATTAAGTTGATAAACCACCTTAAATGAATCATTTGGTGATAATACGTTTATTCTTCTACATGAAACACCTCAGTGCAGGACTTCTACTTCCAAGTCTTTTCACAGTGTGGTGTAAACAGTTTTCCCGCCACAGACATAAATGCAGCTCTTACCTGCAGCTGCGACCAGCGTGTTGGCCCCGCTGCAGTTGAAGCAGTGTAACAGGGACTTGGATCTGATGTTGTAGTTGAGAAAAGCAGCGGAACATCCGATCTTCACCAGGCCCAGCCAGAGCCACACGAACATCGGCTCGTTTCCGACTAACATCGCCACCGTGTCGCCTTGTTTAACGAGCCCGCTCTGCAGGAAGACTCTTGCGGCTTTGTTGCTGAGGGCATCGGCGTCCTGGTAGGTGAAAGTTTCATCTTTAAAGTGAATGAACGGCTTGTCCGGCTGCGTCCTCGCCGCCTCTAGAAACCGCTCCAGGATGGTGAAGTTGGTCTGCATGTACTTTAACATGCAGCGCCGCGCTTTCAATTTAGCGAGCACGTATTTGACATCCTGGATAAAGTAAGGAAAAGTCCTAGCAAGAAAGAAGAAAAGTCCTAGCAAAAAAATTGCAACTGCAAAGACTACCCAGACTAACATGTTTATCAGTGAGGAACCTCCAGCGTTTGGAGTCAAGTCAAAGGTTTTTACCACTGAAGAAGGTCGGGGCGAAAACCTGCAGAGGAGGAGCGCACACTCTTAGAGGGGCTGCTGTTTACAAACTAGTTATAAAATAACTGAAGCAGCGTGGGATTTGGGATAATTGATTTACAGAGTATACACCACTTGTTTTGTTTCCGTCGATGATTTTGACCCACTTTCAGATCTGTAACTATTGCTGCTGTCCTTTAAATTAAAAACTGAAAGGTGATCTTCAAATAGTTAATTAATAAAAAATAAATAAATAAAAGCTCTGCACAAAACGAGCTTTGGTTTCATATTAAATTATAGTAAACAGGATTTTACTTGAACCATTAGACATTACTAAGACTACATTTTCAGATCATGCATCACAACAACAGAGTTTGCTGGCAAGGCTCAGCTCTTATGACAAATGAATTATTCCCTCTTAATTTGTAATAAAATTATAAGATTTATTCAAATTAATTAAAGCAATATATAAATAAAAAAAACATTTATAATCTATGCACAGCATATCTCCTTAATGTGATATAAAATAAAAAAGTATAAAAACAAAAATACACAGGAATCTAAAGCCCGGAGAAAGAACGGAGCAGAGTGACTAAGCTTTGAATGAACCAGCACCTTATCTAGTGCTGTAATGGGGAGCTGCCAGTATCTCTCGTGCAGGGTGTCACAAGTTAAAAATTACAGTGTGGTAAGAGCTGCGACTTTAGACCTGAAAGCATTTGCAGATATCCATGATGCACAAGAAACACCTGAACACCAAGAACTCATTATCAACACTTTACTGTGAGTCAGCAAATACTCCAGACTGAGAACTAAATATTCTGACAGCAAGATTTTGTTTTGGCTCACTGCTCCTGGTTTGGATGTAACTGACAGCCTAAGTAAACCCTCGTTTACTCATTTTAACCCGGATCATACTGCTGTCACAGTGAGATTCAGCACCACGACCTGCAGCTGCATTTTTAAAGCTAGGCTAAAATGTGACAGGGACCATGAGGGGCCAAAAGAAATATACAAATATTTACAGAACTCTACTTGTTTTGCTGTTGGGAGTGAGAGGTGCAACATGTGTTTCTTTTACTCTGGAACAAACTATGCATTAAAGCAATAGTTTGACATTTTTGGGAAATACTCTTATTTGATTTCTTGTCAACAGTTAAATGAGAATATCAGCACCATTGTGAGGCTATAGGGGGTTTATCATAGCATAAACAATGAAATCATGGGGAAAACTGCAAACGTGGCTCTGCACAAGGATAACAAAATCCACCTACCAGTACCTCTGAACCTCACCAAGTAACAAGTTCTATCTTTAAATCTCGACATAAATCTTTTCGTCGTTTCTTTTCATCTTGTTTAAAATCAAGAAATAGTAAATAAATTTCTTGCCTTATTTCTTTAGGTTTTTTTTGTGGCTGGGAGCACTAACAGGTGGATTTTGTACCTTTGGACATCACCAGGTTAGCTGTTTCCAGTCAAAGTTAAGGTAACCAGCGGCACTCTGCAGCTTCACATTTAGCATACAAACATAGAGTAAGAGTGGTATCGACTTTTGTACTTCCCTTGGGTTAGGGTTAGGGTCTATTGACTATCCGTCAAAACTATTCCTTTAACAATCGTAACACAACACAGACAAAAACACACAGCAAGCAACTATGAAGGCAAAAGTTCATCATGTAAACTTCATACACTGTATTAAAAAGGCACTATTTGGTAACGTAACTGAAATAGTCAAGTCAGTTCCAAGCTCATCTTCCTAACTCATACCTGCCCTTCACTTTGTCATTTTTGTTGGTAGAACGGACTGTCAAAGCCGCTGTCCTGCTGGCGCCGTCTCAACTCGGAGAACAGAGGCCTGGAACAAACTCCCTGCTGCTTCTCGGCCTCAGAGCCAGGGGTGGGCTGTCTGTGTGTGCTCATCTTCACACTGGGAAAGTTCAAAGTCTGGGTGTGAGGGGTCTTCTGGGCAATCTCATTATAAATTGTCAGGTCAGACGCGTCTGGGGTGAGGCCACCAAACTCTCCTAAGTCACTGGCCGATGCAGCAGAGACAGAAAACGGCTTCACCGGTTCTACTTTCCTCCCTGAGCAGGAGAGTCTAGGGACTTGGAAGCTTGTGTCCGAGTCACTACTGGTCATGCTCCAGTCAGTACGTTTCTCATCTCTGACAGGAGCCTCCTGGACGGGGAAAGGTTTGCTCTGTTGCTCTGAGTCCAGGTGGTTGACTGCTGTGCTGGAGGCTCCTCCCTGCAGGTAAAGCTCCCTGTTCTTACTCATCACAGACGCTGTGACAAAATCCACCTGGGTTGGAGAAGCCACCTGATGAGAAGACGCCATCTGTTGAGGTTTGTAAGAGCGAAGGTGTTTGTGAGCTGCGGTTTGGGGTTTTATGGCTGCTTCCACTGAGGCCGCCTCCTTCGCAGATGCAGATATGTCCTGGTGTCTCAGAGGTTTAGTCCTGGGTGCAGCAGTTGGTTTCTGCTCAGAATCAGCAGAAGTCTCCTCCCTGTGGGATCTCCCCTCTGCCCCGATGTCAGGAAACTCAGGTAGTGTGGACAGGTTCTTAATGAAACCTGCATTTCTACCTGGAGGGCAGCCAGTGGTGGATACAGCTGTGGAACAATATGCCAATAGAAAAGACAGATCAACAACATATTTATATTTTGAGAAAAGAATCCACAGTAATGGAGTTCTGTACAATAGGACTCACTTGGTAAACTGCAGTTCTTTCCAGATTTACTTCTGATAGGCGTCTCCAGCACTTTAGCCATGGCCGCCAGCTTGCTTGCAGCATTCATTATTTTCTTTTCAGCTCTGCAGAAGATGGGAAGATCAATACAATTAGCCCGAGAAGCCATGATGAAGCAAGCAAACAAGTTAAAGACAGTAACAGCCTCTTGCCCTGTGGTCTTTCCTCCATCCTGCAGCAACTCCTGCAGACAGGTCAGATAATAACGCCGCATCTTTCTGGCAGTGTCCTGCCTCTCCCTCTGCACCTCCATGCGGATCATCTCCGCTGCTCGCTCCCGACTCTCCTGAAGGTAACGCAGCATGTCTTCTGTCGGAAAAGAAAAACACAATCACAGTCACAGTCTGTTCTTTACCAGGTACATGTGAGTGGAAGTCTTTCTAAATACATAAAACCACGGTCAACAGTGTCTTAGTTTGTCAGCACTGACTCCCTCTATCACAAATATGTTATTGTATTATAATTCTGGTGTCCATGACACTTAATACTGTAAATTCACACAGATATCCCCCCTACAAACAATTATAAACTAATAAAGAAAAGCCCCATCACCAACCTCTGATCTTTTCTACAGTCGTCAAGTATTGCTGCTTCATCTCCTCGAGGCCCTGCTGAAGATGTTGCTGGTGATCAGAAGTCCTGTAAACAAAAACATTAAATCTGTAGGGGTTATTTGACTGAAATTCATTACCACAACTAATGGTAGCTATGAATGCTAATGCCACTGTGCTCATCTTGGAGCTTAAAAGAACAAAGGAAATCTATATATCAAATAAAAGCCTTTTGTTCATATGCATTATTTTTAGTTTCACTGAACAGCAGAAGTTACATACAATTACCTAGTGAAGTCAGGTTTCATGAATACAAAATGCTTGTAAAATTATAATCTGACTATAGTTGAAATGATTAGTTGATTAATCAATTAGTCGATTGACATGAAAATAATCAGCAGATATTTCCATTTGGTGCTTAACTTTGTTTCACCTTGTAATAAACTGAGTATCTTAAGGTGTCAAAGCATTGGACAAAACAAGCAACCTGATAACTCCACTCTTATGGCACTGAAATCTATCATTTCTGTAACGTTTGTAAATGGTTAACGATGTAACAACAGATGAATGCAACTACGCAGTGAAACAATATTTCATTCAAATGGACTTTATTAAATCAAAGCTAAGAAATGATAAAAACACAAACCCTGAGGATTCCTTGGCTCTCTTCACTTCGTCTATCTGCTGCAGATGTTCCTCCTTTACCTTCTGTAAGCTGCTTTCATGCTCATCTACAAGAAACAGTGGTGTGTCCCATCAACACAGATGCACAGATGTAGTTGAGTAAATCTATTTAAATGTCATTTAGAGAAACATTTTAAATGCATTAAAGAAATATACCTTTAAGGTGCTGCATGGCGGTCTTGTGCTCTCGAACGCTGTGCTGGAGTTGACGGCAGGCTTTCTCCAAGTGTCTGTGGAGCTCCTGATTCTTCTTCTGCAACTTGCTCAAAGTCTCAGTGCACTCCTTCCTGCAGTGAGCCTGCTCCTTCCTCTGGAACAAAGAGCCTGGAAACGGTGGACAATATTGTTGAGTAAACTTGCTGATGGGAACTCTACTATTGTCAATCAAATCCATTGTGTACTGCATGTTGAATGTATTTAAGTAGTACACTGTGACATTACATACTTTGCATTTTGTTGATTTCTCTTTCATGTTGCTCCTGTGTTTCCTTTAGCACACGGCTCAGTCTCTCCTCACTTATCTGAAGGGACCGAAATGAAACCATGACAGGGAGAAGCAACTCAATCACTGCACCACATCAGAGACACAATCATAAAGATGAATCCTAATTAAATGCTACAGAACTTAATCATGGCAATACTCTGTGTAGTGAATCACTCTAACCTTTGTCTTCTGCAGACTCAGTAACTTAATCATTGAGCTGAACCAGTCCTCCACTATCATTGACAGATAACACCACTTACTTCATCCTTAGACAACAGATAATCCAAGAACAACTCACTTTCTTCCATTCCGTCTTGGCCTGGGATATTGCCCTACTGACAATGTCACTGCAGGATGTTTGGATGATGTGTGTTAGTGTTGTCTCTGATGTGGCCTCGCTGGTCCTCCTGGTGCTTTCAGTGCCCTGCTGATCTGTTCTGGGGTCTCTGAGAAGTCGTGCCTGGACCTCTGCCAGTCCAGTCTGAAGCTCTGCCAATATTTCATCCCTCATCTGCTGTCTCTGGGTCAGTTCTTTCTCTGCATGCTGACAAC